TACTTACACTATTCCATGTATCAATTATAAAACCTTTCTTTCCAAGCTAGTGTAAACACTGTTAATGTAGCTGATTATCTTACTTAGGGTTTCAGCAAAGCCTGCCATCATTAGCTGGAGAGGCAGGTGGGCGGGCGTTCAGTGAGCACAGGGCAGAATGCACTTGGTTTCCCTCCCAGATCGGAGGACACTTAACACGGTATCTCCATCAGCAAGCAGACAGACAATCAGCCTTACACTAAGGTGAAGAAGGACTATAAACTGAGACACAACAGATTTGGTTAGTTATTATGACTCTAGCCTGGGCTTTTTATGTGGTCAAGTCTCTGAAGATTTCCTGTTATTTAAATCTTAATGTTTTTAGAATGGCATGGAAATGATATCATTACTACTCAGTTACCGACTTCTAGGGCACATCCCAGGTAATCTCTCTTACCCCCTAACAGTGAGTAAAGTCTGGCTGCCTGGAAGCCTGGCAACGAAGACCAGCTGCGCCGTTTCCCATCATCAGCGTGGGCGTGGCCTACCAATGCTAACCCTTGGAAGCTGAAGCAGGAGGCAGAGAAGGCACCTCAGAGGCCTGCTGCTGGGGTTCCAGCTCTTCTTCCTCTCCCATGCTAGGCCTGTGATGGAAGCCTGTGCCGGGGAGGAGGGGGTCCAGGTGCTGGTGCTGAGTGCAACAGAACCCCTCTTGGCTGCCATCCCCAAATCTCCCAGGCCTTCCCTCCTGTTTTCTCCCCCCACCTCGCCCCATCCTTGGCACCTTCCCTGGATCTTCAGGGTCCTTCCTTTACCACTCTTCAGCTCTGCTCACATGTCCCCTTCTCAGAGTGCCTTCTCTGACCACCCAGTCTGAAATGGAACTGTCTCCCACCCTTCTGTTTCCTCCTCTTCCGTCCCTCCTTCTGACTTCCTAGAACTTAGCATACCACAAGCATACTTGTTTCCTGCTTGTGTCTGTCCTCAATGCCAGTTCCAAGAGCATGCCAGTGCTTGGCTTGCTTACTCAATGCAGTACTCCTTAGCATCTACCACAGGATTTGAGCCACAGAAAAAAGCTGTTTGTTGACTGAATGAAAGAAAATGAAGGGATGTGGAGGGCAGAGACCGTCTCTCCAGCTGCCCTCTCCACAGTGTATCACAGGCACTTACCCATGCCAGGTACACTTAGCAGGGCTGGGCTCTGCTGACCCTGGAGCCCAAGCACTCTCTCTGCCAGGAAACCTGGCTCTGCCTGCCTGCATGCCTAGCCAAAGGGCAAGGGAAGAACGAAAGATCTCAGCCACCGCATACTATGTACCACATAAAGAATTAAGACCATCAACAACTAAGACCTTTGCCTGAGAATCACCAACTGAAAAGAGATGTGTATTCTCACAGCCTATGTGATAGAGGGAGGTGGGTTTCTAGGCTCCCAGCTCTGCAACCTCCTCTCTGTGGAGCACGACTCTGGGCTCTGTACCACTCGCCCCGTGGGTGGCTACAGACACAGTGACTAGGAAAGCATGTTAGTTATCATGAGCAATGGACGCTGTGGGTCAGATGCTACTGACTAATCAACCCACAGCTGGTCAATTACCCAGCCCCAGGAAAAGGGGCCACTGATCCAGTTTCACATCAATAAATGTCTATCTGGGTCCATCATCCGCTGTAACTGAAGCCTGCCAAGATACCCAGTGTTGTCCACGGGCATTGGTGGCCAGGAAACCTCCCTCCCTTTCCTCTTAATAATGTCACAGAAGAGGCAAATGCAGTTCCTGACAACATAATGTTAGCTTCACCGAGACGTGTCTCTCTATATGCTTGGCTAGTTAGACAGCACTCTGGCTGAATGGATTTTCTTACTGGAGAAACAATAGCTGGGCTTCAGGAAGTTATCGGCGCCACACTGTGCTGAGATATACAACTCTGCCTCTGGTTGTGTGCCTGCTCATCGTCTTTCGTCTGAGGCAGGAAAAACGAAATTGTTTGCAGGAACCATTTTCATCCCACACTTAGATGAGACCAGGTGGGCCCGGAGCCCCAGTAACACACTTTTCTTGAGACAGAATCAGAATTCAAGTCTTTGGTAGGCCTGGAGGCCAGGGTGGCCATGCCCCAGGACAAGCCCTTGTTTGTTTGAGTCATCACCATGGCAACCATAAGGATCTGCTGGATCTAAAATTGTAAACTTCCTCTTAAACCTGCTGTAATCCCCTTCTGTCTGGAAGGCTACCTCAAGGCACACTCAACCTGGTATGAGAAAACCTTAACTCTGAGCTGTCTCAGGCCTTGTACAGCAAACATGCCAGGCTGGGGGGAGTCAACAAGGAAAGAACCACCACAGGAGCTCTGAAGCTAGAGTGGGTGCCTGATGGGGGTGCGGGTGCCAGTGGAAGTGTGTGGGTTGGTTTTTATCAAGATGATCCAAGCCTAGAGACACCTGGGTAGAGTAAATCTTCATTGAGAAAATGCCTCCATAACACTAGCCTGTGGGTGTGCCTTTGGGACATTTTCTTAATTACCAAATGACATGGGAGGGCCATCCCCTTTCAGCAGTGCCACCCTTGGGCTGGTGATCTGAGTTGTGTAAGAAAGCAGGCTGGGCAAGCCATGAGGAACAAGCCGGTAGGCAGCACTTGGGGACTCTTCTCCAGTTCCTGCCCAGACTTCCCTCCGTGATACAGTGAGACTCAAGAGTTGTAAGCTGAAATAAATCCTCTATCCCCCAGTTGCTCTCAGTCATGGCATTTTATCCTATGAAAAAAAACCTAACTAAGTGAGGCTGGGCCAGTATTTCTACAGTGGACTCAGGAATAGCAAAGAGAGTAAAAAGGGAGAAAGATTGTAAGGGATGAGATCCACATGACCAAGAGAGCAAGAGCACAGAGTGAAGGGGCACAGGCCCTACACAGACTGACACGGCAGCTCGGGAGAGGCACAGGCCCTACACAGACTGACACGGCAGCTCGGGAGGGGCACAGGCCCTACACAGACTGACATGGCAGCTCGGGAGGCCTGAGGGGGATGAGGCACAAGAGACCAGGCTGTAAGGGTCTCTAGCAGTGCGTTCCTTGGGCTTGTCATCCCTGCTTTGGAGAAATGGAGTCGGGAGTGCAGTGGTGGGGAGAGAGGGTCAGCTAGTGGAGTAAGCAGTGAAGTAACACCACAGGGGTGGTGTGGGACCCCGTGGGACACAGGAGAGAGCTCTGGGAGCTCTCAGGAGGCAGCACTGCTGGAACTTCTGGGCAGTGGGGAAACAGGAGAGGGCGGCAAATCCAGGAAAGGGCTCCTGGCCTTGGCTTACTGCAAGGATGCATGGAGCCGCTGCACTGCGGTGAATCTTGGGAGGTGCCGAGGCAAAGGTGAGTGGGGTGGAGGGAGGAGGGCACTGGAATTTCATTTTAGCTGTCTTGTCTGAGACACACACAGACAAAGTTAGACGCTGGGGTGGAGAGGAAGGGTGTCCAGTACTAGGTAAGTGAATGGGACTTAGAAGCCATTAAAGGAGAGTGGACAGAGGGACTAAGTTGCCCATTTGCCTCTGTCTTCATTGGTGAGGAGACTGGTCCTCAAATTAGAAATGGCAGAACAAACATAATAAAGAGAAAATTGAACTCCCAAATAGTGGAGTGAGAGAGAGAGTGTCTAGTCAATTGAAATGATTTCAAGTCTTCTGGCTCAGATGAGTTACACCCCAAGCCTGCTGCAAGAAATTGCAGATGTAATCTCAGAGACACGATTGGTAATCTTCCAGAAATTGTCGGGGAGACAGTGGCAGAAGACAGAAGGACAACTGTTAGCATTGGTGAGGAGGGACAGACTGTAATGGAGACCCAGACAGTTTACATCATCCATGACAAAGGTCCTAAGGATGCTTACTAGGTAGACGGCAGGACCACAGTAGGGAGTGCACACAACTCAGGAAACGGCAAGAGGATGCTGTGTGTTCATCCGGCCTGAGTGCTCATCGCCCTGCCCTGCTTCATCTCCTGTGATACCTAGCCTGTGCTGCGCCCTTGATGAAATGGAGTTAGCTGAAATGAAGAAATCTAACGGCCTCTATTCAACACATCCAACCCCGAGTCCTCAGCACATGTGGAAAACACAAAGCAGCATCTAGCTGTGGTGGTTGTCCAAAGCACCAGCAGGCCTGCCTCTGCTTTCCTGTGCTGGCCCTTCCTTCCTACAGACTAAGACAAGAGTAGGGGACAGGAACCAAGTGTAGGAAAGCACCAGGAGGGGGCAGCCACGCCTTGCCAGCATTCCATCCTCACAGTCTGAGGGAGACAGACATGCACTATTTCCCATATGAGCCCTTCAGAGGCACCCTTAGAAACAAGAGTGAGCATGGGGTGGGGGGGCAGTAGAGGATGGGAGGGGAGAGGAGGGGGAGAGAGGAAAGGAGGGGACAGGATGGGAGGGAGAGAGCATGAGAGAAGAGGACAGGAAAATGGAGGATGGGGGTGGGGGAGAAGACGGGCAGAGAGGGACTCTGAGGGATATCACCAATATCAGACTTAAAACTAATAAAACCCCATGAGTCAAGCAAAGTTAGAGCTCCTTTCTTAAAACAAAATGGATCAAGAGGAAAGTCAAACCCAAGGACACTAAGAAGACTGTCTAGAACCAGGCTTCACATTTGGGTCTCTTTGGGTCATGTACACAGATGTTTACTGAAGCTGAAAATAGCTTTTTATTCACGTCACCTCTCAACATCACCCTGTGAGGCTCTCATCTATACACGCGAAGGCTGCAGAAGGAGTAAGATAAGCGGAGGCCTCTCTCTCACCCAGTCCTCCCCATTCTCAGCCAGTCCTCCCCATTCTCAGCCAGTCCTCCCCCCCCCAGCTGACTTCAGGTCTACTTTTAGTGTAGGTCCCTACTAAAACTCCAACTGGATAGCAGACACCACTACCCTACCGCCAATGTTTATAACGAATGGTGGAGTTTGTTCTCCGACGCTGTCAGTGGCTCTGTGTATCTTTACTTTTTAATGAACAAATGCACAGAAATCTTACCGTATTGAGCCAATCATGTACGGCTGTGCCAGCTGAACCACAATGGCGCCACTCCCCAGCTGGTGGCATGTGTAGCCAGAGTCCCAGTCATAATTCTTAGTGTCCCCGTTCAGCAAGGCGTTCCGGCTCCGACTGACCCCTTCGATCACACTGGCGCAGTCAGCAATCGTTGCCACATTCTCCATGGGAACTGTGAATCCAGAGCACAAGATCTGGCATTAGGATAAGACGAGCCAAACACATCCCTGTGGCATGCTTGGAACAAAATTAATTCATTAGCATCTTACGTCCACGATAAAAGGGAACTCGGTTAGTTTCAGATAAGAGCTTCCATGCCAAATAGTTAGACAAACACCAACTGAACTTCAGGATGAAATACCCAAACCAGATGTATCTACCCATTCTTAAGTACTTCCTATGTGATTTTTCATATATGTTTCTGGAGCCTTGCACATTCAACACAGGTATTCTATCACTGAGCTGTGCCCCGGCCAGCAACTGGAACCAATGTGCTACAGCCTCAACATGTGCAGTGAAAAACAGCCATCCAGCAGGACAGGGGCCCAGGACATGGTATCCGTATCTTTTCTGAGCACACAGTTGGCTCCACTGTTTGCTGTTCCATGCATAACCACATAGGGGTCTCTCCCTTTGTTCAGGAGCTGCTGGATCTTGAAAAAACCAGCAGCCTGACTCCGAGTCTCTCTATACTTCAAGTCCGCATCAACCTGATCATTTATAAAAGTCAAGAGCTCCCACAAAACGCTGGCTGTTCAACAGAATAGAGGCTCTCGAAACAGTAAAATACGGATGATAAAAGACAAGGATACGGGAAACTCTGGCCTGTGAGGCTCAGACACTTCCCTCCCCGTGATTATTTTAAATGCTCACATCCTCAGGAGACACCTCTGTTCCTACTTGTTTTTGCTGACTCCAGAGTCCATCAATTTCCATCTACACTGTACTTTATTGCCTCAACATTTTGTCCCTAGATGATACGACATGACCAGGAATGGACATGAGGGACTGTCACAGCCCACAGTGAGCATGGCGCCATGCTTGCTGAGAGGCGAGGCCAGAATAGACATTTCCAGTTAAGCCTTATAGAAGAAGCCAAGCACAGAACTCAGGGGCCCACACCACGGGTACACACACAGACCCACAGAACTCATGGGCCCACACCACGGGTACACACAGACCCACCCACCAGCATCCTCTAATCTCGCCCACCCCTCTCAAGAGAGACTTCCACAGACTAATAGCCACGTGGTAGCCACCTCTACCCCCACCTCTCAGAGCACAGCATCAGAACATCGCCACCTCTCTTCACTTAGTCCTAGTTTTTGGTCTGGATCAAAGTAAAGAGCCAAAGATGGCGGGAAGTGGAACAGAGAGGACAGGATCTGGTCTGGAATCCTTTGGCGTCAGCCTCCTGTAAACCACTATGGTGTGGAGATAGTATCACTTCAGCCCTGTTTCCGCCGCTCTGTGAGGCTACAGTATTTCACCTTGTTAACCAAGTTCCTTATCCAAAGCCACGGGCATCTCAAGTCGTGTCTTTAGGAAAGCGAGGCATGACCGTCTCTGGGTCCTGATCTACACTGACAAGGAGGCCCGTAGGGTCAGCAGGGGAGCTGCTATGTAAGCACCTCCTTCTGTCCTCAGAACTTCTGTCCTCGAAATCTGACCCAGGTACAGAAAGTCTGGCCACCCGCCGGTGAAGTACATTGGATAAGAACACAGATTACAGTGAGACTCCAACACACATAAAAGCTCTTTTATCTTTTTTCATTTTTTCAGGTTATTATTTTTACTATTTTAATTTAAAACTATTTTAGGTTTTTTTTCATTATAATATATTTTGGTTGTATTCTTTCTCCTCTCCCAAGTTAATCACATTACAGGGCTGTGACAGGAAATGTTTGTCCCGAATGTCACCATTGACTACACCAACATTTAGAGGTGACTTCCTACATTTCAGCAGAAAGTTCTTGGATTATTAATTCTTCTCCTAGAAATGCAAGCCCCAGCTTGCCTACCTGGCCTGACAAATACATAGGATCAAAATGGATTCTGCTGGGAAGAACTGGAGCGGGGCACCCCTACCTGGCTGAGACACATGGGCAGTGTGCAGCTGCTCTCCCTGGGAATGGGTCACTCCCCACTTACAACGTTCATTACTGTCTTTCGTCTGAGCCTGATACATTTATTAAAAACACCATCTGGATGGGACTCGGCTTTGTGCTGCATCTCCAGTCTTCCAGTCTCTTGCCTGATCCCACTGGAATTTCTGTCCCAATTTGCGTCACTTTGTTTACAAACCCAAGCTGCCAGAAGCCAGCATCCTGGTCTGTCTCTGCCTGGGTCTCCACTGCCATCCTCAGCTCCGTTTCTATTACAACAGCCTGTGCAGGAGCAGGAGACAGGGGGAACTGCTTGGGAAGAAATTACGTTCCCCTCCATGCACACAGCAATTCTGCTCAGACAAATTTAATTTGCTGCTTCTGAATGCAGAAGTTGCATGTTAACAAAGTGTATACATTCTCAGTGTCTGTCGAATGGAGCTCATGGGCCTAGTGGGGGCAGGAAAAACCTCTGAAAACAATTCACAGCTTCCCGATCTCACACAGCGAAGGGTGATTCATTTATTTATTTATATTTATTTAGGCTTTTCAAGACTGGGTTTCTCTGTGCAGTCCTGGCTGTCCTGGAACTCACTCTGTAGACCAGGCTGGCCTCGAACTCAGAAATCCGCCTGCCTCTGCCTCCCAAGTGCTGGGATTAAAGGCCTGTGCTACCACTTCCCAGCATGCCAGGAAAATTAATTCAGTAGTAATATATTTTTTTAAAAGGCAGTGTTAGCCTACTTGGACATGATGTGAGGGATATCTGTCCCAGCTATACTTAATGGTAAGAATGACAACCTATTATTTGGCTGTTTCCAGAGATAGTCTCCAGATATGGAAGAAACCCTTGTATTCATTTGTTAAATATTTATTTACTTATGCATTTTATGTACATGGGTGCTTTGTGTGCATGTACTTATGCACACCACAAGAGGATATGAGACCTCATTATAGACAGCTGTAGGTGCTGGGAATTGAACTCAAGACCTCTGGAAGAACAGCCCTTAACCTATGAGACATCTCTCCAGCCCTGAACAAAGCCTTCCTGAAGCCAATTCTTCTTTCAAATGGACTGGCACGTGGCTCTTACAAATAGACTGTCATCCCCAGGTCCTGTGCTTGTGGTGGGCTTTCCTCGCTGGGTTCCTGGTTATTAGATCACAATCCTGCTTTGTAACAACCACCACTTACTCAGCAGACGAGTGCTTAATATCTCACAATAGATTTTTCTTGGAAGGTTTTCTAAGCAGAGTGCCAAGATTTAGACCCCAGGTATTTCCCGATTTAAATCATAAGGAAGGTTCTTTTTAGCTTAAGGTCCTACCTATCCATCTCCCAGCCTCACTGCTGTTTCACTGTGAGGAGGTGAATAACCCCAGGCCTGTACAGAACTTGCTGCTGACTAGACAAGCTTCAAGCCAACTGCACTAGACCTTCTGCTGCATTCTTCTAAAGGAAAAGTACCCACAGCTGCTTTGTCTTGACAGTGGAACAGCTGTAACTGAACAATAGCTAATTAGAGAGCAAGGCCATCTTTCCTAAAAACTATCAAACACACCACAAATGTGGTTCTCAAAGTATGCGCCAAGTTACACTGATTCCTGGTTTTATCTATGGAAAGAGGAATCACAATCAACCATGGATTACATCACGTCTGAGGAGAAAGTCATCGATCACAAGCGGCATGTGATCAATTGCCAAAGTGTCTCCCAAGTTTCTCAGGAAGAAGGATCCCACCTCCCCAAACACATAAACATGGCCCAGAAAAATCCAGGCAGTAGCACCAACTTCCCAGTCCCTGCAGAGGAGCCCTGGGCCCCTACCCAGCCCTCTGCCCTACTTTCTTCTTGGTTTTTCTCTT